ACCCATATAACAGTCCCTCCGATATTCGGTATTTTGATGATTTTAGCGACATTATTTATCGGAATTTAGCCCCCATATAAGCTACATTATAAACGGATTTTTTTTTCCAAATTTCGCATTTGAATATTGTAATAGCTTGTGACAAAAGTAGCCTATGCAGGTCCACGTAGTCGTATAGACCCTAATATACGGCTACATTTGGAATTTTTAAGATTTTAAGAGAATTTTTAACGCATTTTATTGTTTTGAAAATTGACAAATTTGTACCAAATGGTGGAGGGTATTTAAAGTTCGGCCGGGCTTTTTCACTTATTTTTCCATATTTTTTATCGCATGCGATTTTTTCAATTTGACTTATAATATTGAAGTGCATATTTTGGAGTATTTTTTCACCTTACAACACAGGTTGGGGTTATTATATAGAGATTGCAATTATCGTCCGATCCTCAGGAAAATTTTCACAAGGGTATGGTTTGGCTCTGAAGGGCTAGGCCTATATTTTTCAAAGATGTCCGCAATATATTTGGGGGTTAAAATGGATCAACAACTAAACATGTTCCTGAATTTGCAGCCGTTGTAAACGTCACAAAAAGAAACCATAGGTCACGAAATCTCACATGAAGTTGGAATTGTCCTAAATTCCAGCTTCAAAAGCGAAATTTTCCAAAATGGATTTGGACATAAGGTGGCTTTTAACATATTGTAGGGTTGTAGGGTATCACATGGCTGACCCCGCACGACTATAGCCTTTGCTTAGTTATTTTTATTTATAATATAATGTAAATACAAGTAAAACACATTTAATAAAACACCCCCCACCATTAGCTAAAGAAAACATTTTTATATTAAAGTATCTGGATTCAAACGTATTCCTCTTCAAACTACAAATAGTAGTAGGTCGGTTGGAAAAGCCGTTATATGGTAACCATACCAAAACGATAGACACATAGACATTTTTATACTACAAATATTTTATCTATGCGAGTCTTAAATACCACATATGAAATAATTCCGTTGCAAAATGTGACTAGGATTATAAGACTAACATTATATGAAAACAGCGGACCAATAAGGGCAATATTTTGACACCTGTTGTAGAACCCATTATGAACTACACACACCAAATTTCTATTGTTGTATCTTAATTAAACAAAAAATCTATCTCATTCTCTTCTCAAAGCAACTTATATTCCGAATGTTTATTGGAGACATCTATTACGGTACTCTTTTCGAAAAATTTTGACATTTTGTTGTCAATTTCGTAGCTTTATTTATTTCCATTTCTTAACAACGTGGACCCGATGTAATTCTGAGAAATCAACTGAATTTGTACATCTTTTTATACCCTCCAATATAATATGGAGAGTATATTAAATTTTTCATTTTGTTTGCAACTCCTAGAAATTCTTATGTCAAACCCAACAAAGTATATGTATCCTTGATCAGCATAAAATTCTATGTCGATTTAACGATGACCTTCCGTCTGTATGAATTGAAGTAGGTTTGATAACATGCTCAAATGTGTGTTTGGTCTGCAGGACTTTTGGTGTAGAAAATGGGCTATATAGGTCCACGTTTAGGTATAGCCCCCATATAACTGTACCTCCCTATATTCGGTATTTTGCTCATTTCAGCGACATTATTCACTCGAATTGTTTAAAATTTCGTATTTTAAGTTCCTAGTGTGTACTACAGCCTATGACAGAGATTTGTTTATGCAGGTTCAGGTCTTCGTATAGCCCCTGAATTTCGGTACCTCTCTATATTCGGTATTTTGATGACTTTAGCTGCATTAATCAACGGAATTGTTTCATATTTCGTATTTGAACTTTGTAACGGGTACTATAGTATGTGACAGAAAATTGCCTTTGCATGTCCACGCCTTCGTATAGAACCCAAAATAACAGAAACTCAAGTATTTTTATGATTTTAACAACATTTTTAACGGGTTATATGTTATACTAGCTGAACCCGGCATAACCCAATCTGAAACGATTTCAATAAAATTTGACACAATATACTTTTACACCAAATTCCGGATGACCATATTTCATTGGAATTGGAGATGCATACAAACCGTGTTTGGTGCATCCAATATGTGAAATCCGCCGATGATATATATGGTAGCTACATCCAAATCTTAACAGATTTCTAATTAATTTGAAAAATTTATTGTTGTAATATATATAAAATTCTATGTCGATTTATATATATATATATATATATATGGGAACTATATCCAACTCTGAGCCGATTTCAATATAATCAGACAAAATTTATTTTCTGATCAAATCCCGTCACATATCTCAAATTTAATTCGAATCGAACATACGTATCGTGTTTGGGGCATCAAATAAACGAAATCGGTCGAAAATATATATGGGATTTCAAAATAATTTTGCAAACAAATTTTTTAGACAAATTCCATCACACATGGTTTTGGTGCATCAAATAAACAAAATTGGTCGAAAATATATGTGGGAGCAATATCCAAATCTGAACCGATTTCAATATAATTAGGAAAATTTATTTTCTTTATAAATCTCGTCGCTCATTCCAAATTGCATTAAAATAGAACATGCATATTATGTTTGGCGCATCAAATAAACGAAATCGGTCGAAAATAGATTTGGGAGCTATATTTAAATCTGAACCGATTTCAATATAACTAAGAAAACAAATTTGTTAGACAAATTCCATTACACGTTCCAAATTTCATTGAAATTGGGGATACATAGGGAGTTTGGTGCATCAAATACTTGAAATCGGACGAAAATATATATGGGAGCTATATCGAAATCTGAATAGATTTCAATATAATTTAGCAAATTCTTTTTCGTTCCAAATTCCGTTCCACATACAAAATTTGGAGACTGCATCTGTAATCGATCAATAGATATGTGCACAGAAAATTAATTTTTTGGAAGGTACCTCCGATTCTGATGCTATATCTCCAGTTCTAAGTAGAATTTCATAAATTTATAGACTATGTTACTTTCAGGCGATGTTGTAGTATACTTGGAATTTTTCAGGAAAATCTGTTTAGCGGTTTTCGAGTCTATAAATTACAAACAATCATACAAACATTTTTTATTTATTAATTAATTGATTTTTTCTTTTTTTGAAAATAAAACAATTCGTTCCAAATGGTGTTGGAGGGAGGGTTCGGCCCGGCCGAACTTACTGCTTTTTAACTTGTTCATACTTATTTCGACAAATTCTGGTAAATTGTGATATCAGGAAGAAAAAACAATCCTTTCAAAAAATTATGAATATAGGGTCACGTTTTCGTTTACCCTCATATTCCCTGATTCCAGCTAAGGGGTAGAAAATCTCTGGTAGAACATTTTCAATGTAGGTAAAGTTTTGGAGTAGCGGTTACATATAGGTACATTCTGCCTTTACATATTTCGTGGGTATTGACCACATTTTCCAGTCGATTTGGCTAAAAAATTGTATTTAGGCTACTTTGGGGTAGAGAAACACGTTACCCCAATGTAACGCAATCTTTAATGTTTTTAACTGATTGGCGGGCAAACAGACAGACATTGGTTAATCGTCATTGAGTTTAACTATGATCCAAAACATATGTGTAAAAGAGTAATGAGCTTTGACTATTCTGAAATCATTTTGCTCTACAACTGATATATACTTTTTATCCAACTCTCAAATTAAAGTCTACGACTGAAACATAGGATCAGTTTTTTTTTTTTTAAACGCTGTAAATCAACCAGTACCTGAACATGTATTGACGTTTTCGCCCTAGGTTTTTATTTATATTTAGTCGAGTTATGATTTCTAATATAAATTGTTTCACTTATATGAGCTAGATCTGTGAATTATTATGCTTTAAAATTATGCACTAAAGACTAAAACTATTATAAAAACATTTTTTTATATATCTAAATAACTTTTAAACAAAAAATGCACCCTTTTGATTTTTTGTTAGAGCGTTATAATTCTAAAATTCGATTTTTTGTACGTCCGTGTTATTTATATCTATCAAATACAAACGTTCTAAAAATTGATATTTTTTAAATTCACCCAATTACAACAATTAAATTTGTGGTACCATTCATTTTTATTTTTAACACAAAAAAAGGAATGGTTCAAATGTCAATCATGGCACAATTACAATCATACGATTACAATTTCTTCTTAAATATCAGTGTACGGCTAGAAAGAAATTTAGATTTCATTCCAACCAAATATTTTGTCATTTACACGCCATTTAGAGTGTACAAAAGGAAGAAAATAATCTAAAACAGAAGACTAACATATTAGACTCATAAATCATGTAATGTTTGATTATGAATGGTTGAATTTTTTATTTTTTGTTTTTCTATAATTCTCGTAGGAGATTGCCTCCCCGAATTTTCGAATTGGCCTTTATTTCGTTACAGGAAATTATCAGCGTTAGAAATCTATGAACGCGAACCGATTAAAAATAGCAAGTTTAATTTTTTGAAAATATGATAAAGAAATCTTTGTTGTAAAGCAAAAATAAATGTTCATTTTCTTAAATGAAATGAAATATATAACCAACATACTACGACAATATTACCCATATTCTATTTCAATCGAATCCAGAAATAAAATGTGAAACACATGTTTAGGTAAGCCCCCATTCAATATCCAACTTTTAACATATAACGATTCCTCCCGACTTTAAGTAGCTTAAATGTATCACACGAATCTCCCAAACACACTAGTTATAATTTTCCATTTCAGGTCCTCAATGTGTATAAAGTTTTCTGGCAGAGAAAGACTAATATAGATTCCCTATACCGATTCCATCCCATTTGATGTGTTTTAAAGGTCCTAGTGGCATTCTCCTGATAAGACGGATGTAATTGGATAGTTTTAAATCTTAATAGATAGATCACATTCTCTCAATACTGATGCATTATTAAAGGTCCTAGCCACATTTTCTATCTATATAAGTCATCGGATTTGAAATATAACTCAGATTACCCTTATTCAGTCTTATTTGAATTTACCTGGAAGTTGTGCCTTTATTTCATATATCCTACTGCCATTCCTAGGATAGAATCTGGTTTCCAAATCTCCAGGTGCGGGTTGTGCTGGAGATCCTGCCAATATTGTTAGAAGGTTACGATCTAAACAGTCTTGTTTCGCTTTGGGCTCTGGACAAAGTCTAAACTCAAAATATCTATAGCAGTAAAAAAAAAGAAAAAATATTCAGAATTAAATGTACGTTCACAAACAAATCTTTTTCCGGGTCAACCCTGATAAATAAGAATATAGAAAACATACTTTAAACAAGGTCAACCCGGGTAAACGCTCTATTGTACACACATAATTTCTTTTGTACAAACCCCATATGACTCGCCGTCAGTTCAACACGAATAGTCATTTCAGCTCCGGGTGAATATCGACGAACTATTACACCCTGCCCCCATTGACCTCCGTGCTCATGGGGCCGTGGCAATGGCATATCCCATGCATCGCCACATTCGCCACACTTCCCACCGTTACGTTTCCATTGACGCGTAAAGCCTCCACAGTACAGTTCGTGATCGTTATAGTCGGGCGGTGTGTTGAAACCGTAACGCCATGCAGATGCTCGACTTGGCGGTTCAATCAAACGACCATGGCCATTGCAGCCAGTGGTATTTATAACAACGATTGCGAAGAGAATAATAAAACGCCACATTACTTTGAATCGGTCATTATGAGTTCCAGCAAATGTCATCATTCCTTGAAGCGTGGCCGTCCTTCAAGCATCTGTGAGACTAAAAAAAAAACACTTATTTAATTTCATCAATCTGCAACATGATTTCTGTAGAAATAGTTTTATATAATATTTGAATGGCCTTTTCTCACAAATCAGGTGCCATGTTTGGCAGTTGCAATGACATTTTTGTACAGATTGAGATTGGCCTTAGCGATGCTTCTCCACTTGCTTCCCTTTATGTTTTCTTTTCTTGACGTTTACAATCGGTATTGTGGGTGGGAGTTTCCCAGAATTGTTTTCGACATTTTCACTTTTTCTAAAATTCGAAGAGAATATCGCTTTTCGGTACTTTCAACAAATTTCCCAACTCCTTAATTTGAAAAGACAACTGACAGTTAACAAATATAAAAGATAACGTCAGCTTGATTAAAACAGGAAAAGCGAAAGGAATAACGACTTCAGAACCTGTTAATGCACTTGATTTTCTTCTTGATTAAATATTTAAAAATAACCGAATTGCTTGAGATTGCATATTAAAATCCAATGCGAGAGTTTCTTAATAATAATATAATAATTTTAATGTGATTCAGCCTTTTGCCGATTTAGCTCATCCGTCAGGTGGGCATTTTTTTTAAGTTAAAATTTTCAATTATTTAATTCAGGCTTTTACCGATTTTTCTTCCTAATCTCAAAGTGTGAGGGGAAATTAATAAGCATTATTGTTTGCACACATTTCTTCAAAATTCAAAAATAATTAAATGCAAATTCATGTTTTCAACACAAAAACAATCGCAATCAACTTTCAATACATTAAACAACCCTAAAGCCTGTCGTCAAATAATTATGCAATTGCCTTGCCATAAAAATATTATAATTCTCTGAGGCTCAATAAGCGACAAGTCCATACGTAAATATTTACGTTTGTTTGTTGTTCACAAATTATGAAATGCGTATTCCACAGCCAATTGGATATCAAAAACACACAAAGTTCTTCACTTGTGGACTTTCAATGCATTGCCTAACCGTCACGTCATTGTCATTTTAATGAACAAATTTGCGTGGTGCACATTAAGTATGTTACACTGTAGGTATATCTCTTATAACGCTGTCGTGTGTAAATTATTGTTCGACTGCATTTCGTATTTAACGTTCTACTTTGAATGTTTCATTTAATCTCACTCCCCAAACAGTTTGTAAACCAAATTGAACAGTTGTTACTGGATGTTGTTCTATAAATCAAAAGTTCAGCACATTAGAGAGAATAAAGATAGTAATTTTGACAATCAATCACTGAAAGTTTGCACAATCTTACTGGAAAATTAGTTTAACGGACCTTTTTGACGTTTGAATGACTGATTTTGGTCAGCTGTCTTGTATTCGATTCTACAATTTGTTTATATCAAGGACTAGCTGGCCCAGTCCGCTTTTCAGGCCCGGGCTTATGGTTTTTAATGCTTATTTTTTAAACATAATAATTCACAGATCTGGAAAGTGTCATAATTTTTATTATAAATAATGACTTGACTAAATAGAACTAAATACCCATGGTATAAATTTTAATAAAAGTTCACGTTCGTGTCGATTTAATGTGTTTAAAAAAAAAAACTGATCCTGACACCTGAGCCACAGGCTTTAATTTGAGAGTTAGAAACCTAAATATTCTTTTCAAATGAGCTGTAATTTGGAGTTTTCATTGTTTAGAAAGTCGTGATGAGTGCCATTTAGTTTTGTCCACCTTATAATTAAGAGCAGAATGAATAGTCAGAGTTAATTATTTTTTTTTTCTCCAATGCCATAACACATCACATTGAGCGTTAAAGTCCACAAAACGTCTAGGTTTTTGTATGTCCGTTTGTCCGCCAATCGGTAAACATCACTATCGGTAGATCTGGGAGGTACTGTTATATCTGTAAGATGGTACTCTACTCCCAAATACACGATTTTAGCCAATAGGTAAAATCAAGAGGTACCTTTATATGGGCGCCACTTCGAAATTTTAGGAAAAATTTTCTCTCATACTCCTTCACAAGCCAAATAAGTGTCAAGTCAATTGAAGAATGTGACCAAGACCCCGGAAATAACGAAATCGTGGGATACCTTCATATGAAGGTTATACCAAAACGTGGGGGTACATTAGCTTTGTCATTCCGTTTGTAACTCCTCGAAATATTCATAATAGAACCCACAAAGTAATATACTCCGGATCAGCGTCAAATTCTAAGACGATCTGGCGATGTCTGTCCGTCTGTCTGTTGTAATCACGCGGTCTTTCGAACAAATTGAGATAGAAGGCTAAAACTTTGCATACATGCAAAAATATACATCAGCATAAAATTCTATGACAATTTAGCGATGTCCGTCCGTCTGTCCGTCTGTGGAAATCATTCTAGCTTCCGAACGAATTGAAGTAGATTGTTAAAATTTTGCTCAAATATATGTTATGTAGGACATTTGGTATTGAAAATGAGCCATGTATGTTCTCGTTTTGGTATAGACCCCATATAACGGTACCTCCGGATATTCGGTATTTTGATGATTTTAGCGACATTATTCACCGAAATTGTTTCAAATTGGTATTTGAAATTCGTAATGGGTACTATAGCTTAAAATAGAAAATTGTCTGTGCAGGTCCACGTCTTCGTATAGCCCCTGAATATCGGTACCTCCCGATATTCGGTATTTCGATGATTTTAGCGGCATTATTCACCGGAATTCTTTTAAATTTGGTATTTGATGTTCGTAATGGATGCTACAGCCTATGACAGGAGGTTGTCTCTGCAGGTCCACGTCTTCGTATATCCCCCATATAACGGTACCTCCCTATATACGGTATTTCGATGATTTTAGCTACATTACCGGCGAAGCGCTTGCTTGAGGTTATCGACACTTTGGTATTTTTTAGTGCCAACCTGGCTTTCCAAAATACTCCAATAGTCCAACGGATTGCTATCCCGAGATTTTGGTGGCCATTGTGCGCTGGAAATGAAGCAAGGAACCTTATTTGTAACCATGAGTCCTGTTGGAATGTCCAAGGTCTGCGGCCAAAAAGTTTGCGTGCAGTCTGAAGTTAGTTGCAGTTTTTTTTATCACACCCTGTATACGTATAAAAGTATTTAATGTGGAAAGCGTGCATTCGCTTTCAGTTAAATCAGGTCGTTTTGTACTATAATGCATATCTCAAAACAGCAGGTCTCATACACGATATGAAAACTCTGGTCCAATAATATTCACGTCACAACCTGTGGTCACAACAGTTTGGCTTATTGGCTAACTTAAACAAAATAATGAAAACAAAACAAACAAGGAAGTTCAAGAATATGCGATATGCGTTGTCCCCCATTGTTAATGCGGAAAGTCACGAGTCTTGAATAATAAATTGTGCCGAACCCACTAGACATACAACAACTGTACAATATAAATTGTGTCGGAATGTAAACATTGGGACTTAATAAGAATCTAAAACGGAAAACATGACTCCTGACCCCTAAAAGTTTTGTAGTGTATAACATGTATATGTCGTGTACAAAGTGTATAACATATCTTCTGATAGTAACTCTGACATTACAACCCATATAGGTATGCTTCTTTACTTGCAACTACCTCTATCTTATACTACCTTGTCTTTTTTATACCCTCCACCATACATAGTATGGAGGGTATATTAAGTTCGTCATTCCGTTTGTAACTCATCGAAATAATAATTTTAGACCCAACACAGTATATATATTCTTGATCAGCGTAAAATTCTAAGACGATTTAGACCTTTCCGTCCGTCTGTCCGTCTGTTTTAATTACGCTACAGGCTAAATGAATTAAGATAGAAAGCTAACATTTTGCCCAGATCTCTTTTTTTTGTCTGCAGGCAGGTCAAGTTCGAAGATGGGCTATATCGGTCCACGATATCGTATAGCCCCCATATAACGTTACCCCCGACATCCGGTATTTTGATGATTTTAGCCACATTTTTCAATGAAATTGTATGAAAATTCACACAAGCAGTTCTCTAAGAGCACTTTATCTCTTGGCAGAGAACTATCTATATAGGTCCACGATATCGTATATCCCCCATGTATCGGTACCCCCCGATATTCGGTATTTTGATGATTTTAGCTACATTTTCTAATAGAATAGTCTGAAAATCCACACGAGGAGTTCTTTGTGGGCACTTTACCCATTGAAAGAGAATTCTTTATATAGGTCCACAATATAGTATATCCCCCATGTATCGGTACCCCCCGATATTCGGTATTTTGATGATTTTAGCTACATTTTCTAATAGAATAGTCTGAAAATCCACACGAGGAGTTCTTTGTTGGCACTTTACCCATTGAAAGAGAATTCTTTATATAGGTCCACAATATAGTATATCCCCCATGTATCGGTACCCCCCGATATTCGGTATTTTGATGATTTTAGCTACATTTTCTAATAGAATAGTCTGAAAATCCACACGAGGAGTTCTTTGTGGACACTTTACCCCCTGAAAGAGAATTCTCTATATAGGTCCACGATATCGTATATCCCCCATATAACGGAACCCCCCGATATTCGGTATTTTGATGATTTTATCCGCATTTTTCGACGGAATTGTCTAAAATTCTACACAAGGGGTTCCTTGTGAGCACTTTACTCCCTGAAAGGGAATTGTCTAAATAGGTCCAAAATATCGTATAAGCCCCATATAACGGTATTCCCCGATATTCGGGATTTTGATGATTTTAGCCACATTTTCCAATGGAATGTTCTGAAAATCGGCACTAGGAGTTCCTTGTGAGTACTTTATTCATTGAAAGAGAATTATCTATATAGGTCTACGATATCATATATTCCACATATAACAGATGATTTAAGCCACATTTTTCAACGGAATTGTCTGAAATTCTACACAAGGGGTAGATTTTAACAGAATGTTTAATTGATTTAATTTTTATTTTTTGAAAATGTCCTAATTCGTTCCAAATGGTCGGGCCGGGCCGGGCCGGGCCGGGCCGAACTTTGAATACCCTCCACCATTTGGAACGAATTAGGACATTTTCAAAAAATAAAAATTATATATAT